TTTTAGACAACCAATCGAAAAGCAAGACCTTCATCGACCTAGAAATAAGTGGAAAACCTGTCCAACGGATTAAACCACGTGACCTTTGTTAATGAGATTCCTCCAAATATTATTCATGAGATAAAGACAAAGGTCTATGACGACATCAATGTTCAGTTATTCCATTTCATACAAATAAGATTCCACTTCAAAAAGGGGGTCTAAAACAACCCAAAAAATAACTCTAACTGAAGGTAGCTAACCAAATATATATAGGGAATGGGACTTTATCGGCGGGATGAACTGTTTTCTTTTGATCATAAACAACACTTATTGTAATTACCATAATTCATACAGATAATTCACATTACCGTGCACCTTTAATTTTAATAAGTGAAGATATACTAAATGCTGAAAACACTCGTATGCTACTCGATAAAAAAGATAGCGTCGGCGAAACTGGCCCAGAATATTATTTCCAACTTATCCAATTTATTTTCTAAAAAACACTATGTTTCGAAACTCCCTGCGCATAGAACGGTTCATGACGCCATAAATAATCGGATTTATCCACGAAAAGAAAGTCGTGATCTCCACAAAAACCCACTGAGCAGCCGGTGAAATAGTAACCCGAAAACCAAAAACCAAGAAGAGAAGAAAGGTTAATGGAGTCCAGCAGACGCAATACCCAAGGACGGCAGCGAAAATCACTCGAGAAGTCTTGATCTCTTGTGCACTGATTGTCCGGAGATGATTTGTTGATTGAAGAGCAGGGACGATGGTAGTGTTGTGTTTCTTAACAACTCGATAAATACTCCCGTAACAGAATATTACTAGTAACATTGGCACCGTGAAAAAACAGCCAAAAAAGATGTAGATAGCCCTCTCTGTTCGCTTATCTGGGGATGTCCCTTGACAATACAGGTTTTTTGGAAACCACCGGAAAGTTATTGGTGTCGCGATGGTAAGGCAGAGTGTTTGAAGAAACGTAAAAAGCCATACAGAGATGATGGACAGGACCGTTTTCTTTTTGTCGAAGAATACTGGATATTTAAGTGGCTTTAAAACACAAACATAGCGATTAATCGATGCGAGTGTCAGAATGCTGAGTGATACCTGCGCCCAGAATTGCACAAGAAATCCTACGAATTGGCAGAAGACGTAACCGAAAGGCCATCCGCGGAGCCAAGAGGCGGCCAAATGAAATGGGAAGAAGACAGCCAGTGTTATATCCGCTACTGCTAGTGACAGTACGTAGAAATTGATTGTAGTTCGCAGTCGCCTATTTCTGTGAAGAGCCAGACAAACTAATGAGTTCCCTGCCAAGGAAAAAAAAGTGGTTAGGGCCAGAGTCACAGTATGTATCGTGACCTCAAGCGGACTTCTTGTATCTTCTTCGTTCTCAGCTATGCCCATTCTATGAAGTGTCTTAGAGCGTTTCTTCAAGTGCCTTTATGCTGTTGATATTGCCTAGACGAGAACAGCACGTTTAAGTAAAAACTTTCTTACGCGACTTAACGAAAAAGAGGATGCATGGCTCAAAATGGCTATAACTTTCTTTGCTTACGCTAACATGATAAAACACCTGCCGTAAATCTCTGACAACCTTCTAGCTAGAGATTTATCAAAAACTGAAAAGTGTTTGCTTTGAAAAGCCTCATTGAGATATCTTGTCAAATTGGTCAACAAAGCTGCTTTTAACTAAAGACTTAAAAGCAATTTGATGTTGCCTTGATCATATTCATAAACAGGGATAAACATTCATACTAATCAATAAACAGAAAACGGAAAGATATCTAAGATATTATTGCAGGAATAAAAGATACTCATTCGAGGAATTGCTGTTGGCTTTATACTTATCCCGGAGTCGACTGAATAATAAAAATAAAAATAATAATAATAATAATAATAATAATAATAATAATAATAATAATAATAATAATAACAATAATAATAATAATAATAATAATAATAATAATAATACTTATATAGCGCCGATATCAATATTGCTATTTTCATCAGCGCTTAAAAAGAAAAATACTAAGGCTGCATAAAGTATACATGCAAAAAGTGCATGAACCTACCAAAAGGAGTAAAACAATTATGCCAACACTATTACTATAAAAAATTACCTAGACTACTTAAATCGTAAAAAAACTGCATAAAACCTACTAAAAACGAGATTAAAAAGCACATAAAATCACAAAAAAGCTTTCTGTAATAAAAATGTCTTGAGTGTCTTTTTAAAAGATGCTACTGAGGGGTTACTCCTAATTGAATAGGGCAATGAATTCCATAGTTGAGGAGCAGCAGCAGCAAAAGATCGATCTCCTAACGTTGTGGATAGATGATAGTTTAGATCACGAAGGCTGTTATTTGGAAACAAACGTACGACGAAAAAATACTCCCAACTAAGAAAGCACAAAACAACTCTATTTAAGACCCAAAAGGTTGCCTTCTTGCCCCAGTTCCAGACCACAAGGAAAAAAAAACCGATACCCACTGGCGCTGCATATATCTAAATAGCATCTATTAGGGTGTATACTCCGGGGTTATTTCAGTCGGTTTCATCAACGTAGTATGGTCGCTTTCTTAGCGTTCTTCGTACTTGTGGATTTTGAGTGGCTATCAGGAATAATGGTTTCCGGCAAAATGAGCGCTAAAATACACACAAGATCGTTTTGGATATAAAATAAATTAAAAGTAATTAAGTTAATAACTTTTTTAAAATATATATTTTCTCATATTCTCGT